AGTGCATAGCTTGAGATACCCTGAACGTCTTTCCAATTCCAAAAGCATGGATGATCTCTGTAAGGTGGTTTTGTTATGATTTATCTCCTATCCTGGTGTATTCATTTATGAGTGTTTACTGTAAGACAGTCACTGTGGCAATTACTGAGGTTATAAAGTATAGTTCTGCTCCCAGTGAATACGCGGTCTTGAGGAAAGGCAAATAGACTAAGAAACAGAAACAAATATGCAGCTAAAAATTATAAATGGGATATGTAGGGAAAGTACAGACACTGTGAGGACATAATTGGAGGTGGGTGAAGCAGAGGGAGGAAGAACTTTTCTGGAGAGGGATGTATGCAGTCCGGAGGGTTAGAGATGATCTCTAGAAAAAGAAACATTCGACCCGAAAAGATGCACAGAGATAAGGATTATAGGCGGGGGTGGGAGTGGGGAGGGAAGGATTACAGGAAGAAATAGCGCAAACACATCCAGACAGGAAAGAAAGTGGTGTATAACTACCTACCTCTTAACAGTGTTTTCGATTATGATGAATGATCCTGTACTCAACCTCACAGTGATCCTGATTTATTTAAGAATATAGAGTTCAAGTGGCCCTACTCCATAGGGAGTTTCCCTGATAACCCAAAGGCCACGCCTCTTTGGTGGTTCAAATCCACCAGCAATGATACACCATAGGAGAAAACTAGGCATTCTCCTCCTAGGTGATTTACAGACTTTGCAAACCCTCTGAAGGATCAGCTGAGTCAGTTCTGATTTGAGGACAGTAAGTTTGAGGGTTTGTGTTTTTTAGTTTGAAGAATGGGAATCCCAGAATACTTAATTATGCTCATGAGAAACCTGTACATAGACCAGGAAACAGGTGGTTGAACAGAACAAGGGATCGTTGTGTGGTTTAAAATCAGGAAAAGTGTGTGTCAGGGTTGTATCCTTTCTCTATACCTATTTAATCTGTATACTGAGCAAATCATTAGAGAAGGTGCACTATATAAAGAAGAATGTCACATCAGGACCGACGGAAGACTCATCAACAACTTGTATTATGTTGGGGAGCTCTGGTGGCCTAGTGGCAAGAAGCTGCACTGCAATCCCAGAGGATCACGGTTCTAATCCACCAGATGCTCTGCCGGGAAAGGAGGGACAATCCCCTCCTGTACCAGTCAGATCTGATTTGACGGTACACGCACACGCACAAATAATAAAATTAAAAAAAACCCTTGCATTATGCAAGTAACAAAACTTTGCTTTCAGAAAGAAGACTTTAAGCACTTAATGCAGAAGACTGAAGTCTACACCCTTCAGTTGAGATTACATCCCACCACTAGACCAATAGGGAACATTATAATAAACTATCAGTGGGTTAATGTTATTTGGATCCACTAGCATCACTCATGGTAGCAGTATTGAAAAGATCAAAAGACATTCCATTGGGAAAACCTGTTGTCAAGGATCTCTCCAAGGTACTAAAAAACAAGGATATGAGTTTAAAAGGTCAGGTGCGCTTGATCCAAGCCATGGCATTTTAAAATTCTTTGGTGTGCATCTAAAAATTAGACAGTAAATAAGGAAGACTGAAGAAGAATTGCTGTCTTTTAATGTTGCCGAAAAGTATCAAATATAGATTGCCAAATAAGCAATCAATTGTCTTAATGATGCGCTACCTGGGTGATCCTTAGAAGTAAGCACGGTGAAGTTTCATGCTTGGAAAACTGAAATGTCTAAGGGAAGGATTCAACCCTCCGAGAGACTGATTGACAGTGATTATAAATATGGGCTCTAGCATGACAGATGGTGAGCATGGTGCGGTATAGGACACGATTTCATCCTCATTGGGGTAAGGAGTGGGTAAGCAGATGGGAAGTGACGTGACATTACCTATAATGACACTTGTTAAGAATCTGGCTGCAAGAATCTTGGAATATTCAGGGTCCTCTGATTATTAAGAAAAGCAAAGTTTTACATTAAAACGTCTAAGAGTCGACTCCGATTCGATGGTACCTACCTACCACCACCACTTCGTTTTCTTGGGAAACGTGCATTTCACCAACTTCAACAGAACCAACAAAAGTCATCATCGCAAATCTCGCGACAGCTGATCCCTTTCGTTCCTCCAGCCGCGACTCAGAGCTGGAGCTCTCCGATTGGCTCATCCGAAGGAGCCCCTCCCCGCCTCCGTCCCGCCTCCGTTGCCGGGATACGAGGGAGCGCTCGGTTCGTCGGGAGGGCTGGAGGAGACAGCGCGTGGCCAGCCGGGAGTCGCGAGTGGGCAAGCGCATGCTTACTGGTGGGCCTGCTGGTGGGCTTCGTGGTGGCGACGGCCTCGGAAAGAGATTAGCGGTGCCATCACCCTCCTTCCGCGCCCCTGGAGGTGAGAACTCCCAGGTTCCAGCCCCGCCCCCTGCCTCCTGCGCTGGTGATTTACCTGGGAGATGCTGAGCGCTCCAGACAAAACAAACTCACAACTCTAAGCCTTTAGCAGTTATGCAGTGACCTTTGGGTTCTTCACCAGGCCTGGGAGGTGCCCAACATAGCCGGACAAAGGATGCGATTCAAACATGGGAGGCTTACCCACCAAGATTAGCAGAATCTATGGTTTCCCACTGTGGACAGTGTTTGGTGGAGCTCCCAGTTGTAAAACAGGGTTGGAAGCAGGAGTGGCATCCACTTCCTAAACCACATGCCTCTGGAAGGTATATGAACTTGGAGAAACAACTATAGCTAAGGAAAGGCATTTGCTCATTTGTTCATAGAGTCTCTTATGAGTCGACCTCGACGGCAATCAACAACAACAATCCAATCCAGGCAGCCTTTCTGACGCAGCTAGATGGGTGGACCTTCACCTCCACTATAGATTTACCGTCATGGAAAACCGGTTGAGGGTCCCCATGGGTTGGAATCTGTTCCAAAACATGAGCTTGGTGGTTTCTTTCTGGTTTTGGTCTTATCTGCTTCAGTGCACAGTATTTTCCCTCTACTTAGGACTGGCATCAACTTCCTAAACAACAGGCGTCTGGAAACTCAATGAACTTTGATAAATGTCGGTAGTTGTAGAGGGGTTTCAGGCCTTTTGTTCATAGGGTCACTATGAGTTGTGCTCGACTCAAATGCAATCAACAACAACACTGAGGACTGGCTTATGTCAAAGCCTTTTTCAATACAGTAAAACAGTGGTAAAGAAAGTCAGCTGGAAGCTTGTTAAAACATGAAGAGTTTTTATACAACATTTCTGTATATTGTGCGGGGGAATTCATGTGACCTGGAGCTTAGAGAGTTTCACTGCTCACCCACAATGGCACCTTCCTGATGGTTCAAATCCCCAAGTCACTTGCGGAAGAAAGATGGGCAGTGACCTCCTGTGCAGTTTACAGCCTCGAAACTACAGGCTGGAGGATCATCTCTGCTGATTCTGAATAGGAGATCAGTTGTTTTTATTTATTTTCATAAAATTAGGAAAGCTCATTCCACTGAATAAGTTTATTTCAGGTTTTTTTCTTTGAGAAACTTTAAGTCATTTTAAAAAAAATTTCTCCATTTGAAAGAATTCTTTTTCTTGTCAATCAAAGCACCAGGAAAATAAATCAGATTTAATTGAGATGGGACTATTGCAAGTTTGGTTTGAAATTGTTCCATATAATAATGCTTTTGGAAAAGTAAAGCAGATAGACTTGTTCAGTGCCAGAGTTGCTTCACATCCTTAATTTGTAAAAATGTAGCCTCTCTGAAAGCACAATGAAATGAAGCACATGCCTGTATGTCAGACAAGATTAAGAACACAGGGAATTAGCCATGGAGCTGAAAGCACAGAGAAAAGACTGAGAGAGGAGACTGGACATGTTATGAGAGGAGACGATATGAGAAAGTACAAGAGAGATTGGGAACTAGGGGAATTCGCATTTTGTTTGTTGTTGTTGTTAAGTGCCATGGAGTCGCAGGCGACTCATAGCGACCCTATGAAGGAGAGTCCTTGAAGCTTGGGTGCCTTTCATCCTCTCTCCAAGTTTATAGGGTTTCCAGAGGCAAGCTATTATGGAAGTGGATGCCACTCCTCCTTCCACGCTTGTTCAATCGGGGAGCTCCACCCCACTCTCTGTCCGCATTGGGTAGCCAACCATTAACACATTTGACACATCCATGTCACAGTGTTCAGCCTCACAGCAGCCACAAGTGACCGTGGGACGGCAACTTGTACACCAGGGCTATACAACCTAGAGGAATGTCTGAACAAAACACAATGAAAGACTGGCCGGAGGGCCGCGAACTAAAAGTCACCCACCTTTGTCTTGGTCACATTGTTTTCTCTTCGCTGGGCCAGCTGATCTCTCTCTCTCTCTTTCTCTCTCTGTTGATGTTATTGTTGTTAAGTGCCTTCGAGTCGCAGGCGACTCATAGCGACCCTATGAAGAAGGGTCCTTGACACTTGGGTGCCTTTCATCCTCTCTCCAAGTTCATAGGGTTTCTGGAGGCAAGCTATTATGGAAGTGCATTTTGTTTAGATAATAAAAATATGAATAAGGCATGTTGTGATGAATGAGCTCATGGTTCAAAGTGAAATACTGATGTAAAATTTGAGCATCATCAAGTCAGGCTTGCACGAAAAGGACTCGTGGGTTAAATGTTTGAAGGAGAAGAGACATGATGCCTCTCTCGTTGGCTTTGGATAGGAACTAACTCATAACTGACTTACTATTGGGTTTCTGACACTATGAATCTCAAGGGATGAGATAGCCCATTTTTTGCCCAGCAGAGCAGTGCAACCTTTGGGTGAGCATCGTTGTTGGCACAGAGTGCAAGCTCACTAACATTGAGTTGAGCCCAACTGATAGTGATTCTCCTTTAGGTTTCAAAGACCGAGGAAAATGCCCATCTTTCTCTTGTGGAACCACACAGCTGGGAGATTGGAACCAAAGACCTTTTGATTAGCAGCCCAGTCAGTTACATACTATATTAAGATAAGAAACGTCAAAATAACTTTGAACTATTCTCTGTTTCCAAATAGTGGTTGAAGCAAACAAAAATGGCCAGTAATCACAAGCCTTTGGTACCTCGCCCTGTTTCAAGGAGTGGAATTGGATTGACAGGAAGACCTCCTTCTGGAATACGACCCCCATCAGGAAATATTCGAGTGGCAACTGGAGTAAGTTTATGATGTTGTTTTTATTGATTGCTTTCGAGTCAAGCACGACTCATAGCTACCCTATGAACAAAAGGCTTGAAGCCCCTCTGTAACTATCAACTTTTATCAAAGTTCATAGGGTTTCCGGAGGCATGTTATTTAGGAAGTGGATGCCATTCCTACTTTCAAGTTTAAGATAGACCAATGTAATGCTTGTCTTTAAATCCTGGTAGGAATTGGAAATTCTTCTAGGCAAAAAAGTTCTTTGTTGTAACTGTATTCCATGAACTTTTATATATATTTATATATATATCTAGAAATACGAATATTGGAAAATGTCTAAACGCTGCTATTTAAAGGAAGATACTTGTCTTTTCTGATAGTAGCACTCATTTTAATACTACAGTAATGTAAATACTGTAGTGTATTGGGCAAGAGTAAAACTAAAGAAACCAGAACTAAATAGATGTAAATATTTAGTGTATAATTACATGGCTTTTCAGATTAGTTGGAAAAGCATGGACTATTAAGTAATTCATTCAAATAACTAGTAAACGATTTGCAGAAAAGGGGGAAAAAATAAAGATTACTTCTTCAAAACTTTTATCAGAATCAATTCTTGATATTTTAGAGATTTGTATTTTGAAAGTGAAAGCATAAATGTACTACAAAAGAACGTAAGGGTTTTTGTATAATCTTTAATAGGCTCCACTTTTCTAAAATGACAAAACCTAAATACTAAGGAGAAAATGTATGTGTTTGAATTTATACAACTTGAAAAAGACTTTAAAAATGAAAAGAAAAATGACAGATTTATAAAAAGATATGTAACATTTGTGTTGTGTTTAGTGTTTAGAATCTTAAAATAAATGAGCCAAGTACTAATTTGTATAAATATTAAATGAGATTTCTTCTGGTGACTATCATTAATTACAGATCTGTACTAAAATTCATCTGGAACAATAAAAAAGCAAAAATACTTACAGGTTTCAAGGATAGTCTGTTTATCTCATTTATTTACTGACTTTTGACACTAGCTTTATCTTATATTGAACTGTTAACACTTGTTATGTGCTGTCGCGTCCCCTGTGACCCATAGCGACCCTGTGTATAGCAAGTCTGAACTATGCCCTGACCTGAGCCAGTCTCACTAATTTCAATGCACCAAACCCCATTGCCTCAATCACTGTATCAGTCCAGCTCATTGGAGTCTTCCTCTCCTGCGCTGTCCCTCCACCCTTTGGAGCATGATGTCCATCTCCAAGGACCAATCTCTCCTGGCCATGTGTCCAAAGTATGTAAGACAGAGCTTCAAAATCCTAGCCTCCAAGGCTAGACTTGGTTTCACTCTCTCCAAGACAGACCTCTTTGTTTCTTAACAGTCAGTGGTATGTTCAAGACTCCTCCAGCACCACAACTCGAAGACATTTATTCTTCTTCTGACATACTTAGTCATTGTCCAGATCTCTGATGCATAGCAAGTAATTGTAAAGACCATGGCCTAGATCAGGCACATCTTCGGCTCTAAACTGACATTGTTGCTCTTCAGCACTCTGGAGAGGTCCCTGACAGCAGATTTCCCCAATACAATTCATCTTTTGATTTCCTGACTGCTGGTGTTCAAGAGTGTTGATTGTGGAGCTGAGCTTAACACTTAACTAAAGTTTATTTGTAGGCTGCTGTAGTTTTCCAAGTACTGTTTACTTGTTGATTATAATAAAATTTTATATTAGAGAAAGCAGAAAGGAATAGAACGAGAAAGATGACAGGGAGGAATTGTGGAGAGCACTGTTACAATATAGGGATTGAAATTAATGTCATAAAACAAAATATATATGAATGGTTGAATGGAAAACCAATTTGCTTATTGAACTTTCACTTAAATCACAATAAAACTTTATAAAAAATAATTACTACTTGACTGCTGAAGCCCTCCCAGAGATACCTAAGGGTAAAGACTATGGAAAAAATACTGACTGACCCAGGAAACATCTAAAGAAGATGGAAGGGGTCCACAGAGTCACTCTACCAAAAAGAATTTACTCTGTTTCAAGAACCATTTCAAGAAATAGCATAGAATCAAGAACCAATGGTAATAAAGCAGGAAGGTCAAGCTGCCCTGAAGAAATTGGCAAAAAATAGGGCCCCCAAACTCTTGCTGAAAATCATCCAAAAATGAACAGGACATTTACAGAGAACTGCCGGAAATACAAGCTGGATTTAGAAGAGGCAATGGCAATAGGATGTTACTGCTGTTGTCAGCTAGGTCATGGCTAAAAATAGAGTGTACCAGAAAGATTTCTATTTATATTTTATTATGCAAAGACATTTGACTGTAGATCACAGCAAAACGTAATAATGTTTAGGAGAATGGGAATCCCAGAAAACTTGATTGTGCTTATGTGAAACTTACGTCTAGACCAGGAAGCTGTTGTCCCAGCAGAGCAAGGGACTACTGCATGGTTCAAAATCAAGAAAGGAGTGCATCAGAGACGCATCTTGTCTCCATTCCTGTTCAGTCTGTATGCTGGACAGATCGTTGAGAAGGCTGTACTTTATGAAGAAGAAGGTTTCATCGGAGTTGGAGGAAGATTCTTCAACAACCAGTATTATGCAGATGACATAACCTTACATGCCAAAACTGAGGATAAGTTGAGGCATTTGCTGCAGAAGGTCAAGGACTGCAGTCTTCAATACAGACTGCATCTCAACATCAAGAAAACAAAGATTCTTACCATGAGACCAATAGACAGCATCATGATAGATGGAGAAAAGACTGAGATTGTTAACAATTTCATTTTGCTCAGGTCCACAATCAACACCCTTGGCAACCTCAATAAGGAAAACGAAAGATACATTGCTTTAGGGAAATCTGCTGTCAAGGACCTTTCCAGAGTGCTAAAGAGCAAGGAGCTAGAGACCAAGGCATGCCTGATCCAGGCCATGGTCTTCTCAATTGCTAATAATAATAATAATAATAATAACAACAATAATGACTAAGGACAACAGAAGAACTGAGGTCTTTGCTTTGTGGTGCTGGAGAAACGTATTGAATATAATACCAAGGACTTCTAGGAGAACAAGCAGGTCTATCCAGGAAAGGATGAAAGCAAATTGTTCTGACCCTCTTTGAGAATGTTGCCAGGAAGAACTCATCCTTAGAGAAGGACATCATACTTGGCAGAGTCAACACAGGAGAGGAAGACCATAGATGAGGTCAATTGGCAGAATTACTGTAGCGATGGAGTCAGATGTTATCAGAACTGATGTGGGTAGCACAGGGTAGGGCAACGTTCTGGGCCAGTTTTCTTCATTTGCTATGAGTTGTAGCTCACTTGATGTCATGTTAACAAGAGGTGAAAAAAAAGCAATGTGATACCAAGTCAGCATAAAACAGAAATACTTTTACATGTGCATGGAATGAGGTTAGAAAGAAGTTGATACATCTAAATATTCGCAGTAAAATTTTTTTCATTGTTCACTAACATGCTGAGAGTACGTAGCAACAGTAATCAAATTTAGAAGCTAGGCTTACAGAAAATTAAGATAATTTTGAGTCCTGTGTTTAATTCACAAAAAGAACAACTTTGAAAGAATTGCTTAGAGGGTTTTACCTCCTAAAGTTTTTAGGGATTTGTAGTTTTAGATAATCTTGTCATCATTACCACCAAAATATATAGAAATGATTTTTCTAGGCCTATTCTGTGAGCTTCTGAGCTAGAATACTGTTTTTACTTTTAATTGAGTAGGAATTAATGTTTATTAATGAAATATGTATAAGGGAATCTGAAATTCATTGCCACTTAACTATTTATACAGCATTTTACCTATTTAGTGTTTGCAGTTTTCATTATAGTAAATATTTGAAAACTTTCACATAGTATCTGAGAAGTATTGGGTTTTTTCACCCTACCACAAATATAACCATTTTCAGCATCAGTCTGTCTCTCCCACACATTTTCTGTCCTTTTACAAATACACATGCATGGTTTGTATGATTTTGGTCTTACACAAAATCAAGATAATGCTAGATACATGTTATTATCTTTTTCTTTGGGAAATAGACTGGGAATAGATTTCAATGTGAATGTACATGCATCTGCCTCCGTTTGAATACGTACAGTTTTGATGTATACTTTTCTGTACTGTTATATGATAAATAATTTTTAATACCTGAAAACCAACAATAAAGTAATAGGAAACTAACGTAATAACTCAGGCCAAAGGACTCTCCTATTTATTATATCCTGCATGAATGTAAGGTCGGGAAGCTCTGATGGCCTACTGGAAAGAAGCTGTGCTGCAACCCCTAAAGCACAAGGTTCTAATCTACCAGCTGTTCCACAGGATGGACATTGTCTGCTGTCTTTGAAAACCCACTATATAGGGGCAGCTGTGAGTCTGTTCTGACTCAACTATACATAACAAAAACAATGTAAGGTTACAGTTTTACAATACTTTAAGGGGGAAAAGACTTTATTTAATTGAATGGTAATCTTTATCACAATAAATTCCTTTAAGCTGCCCTTCCCCATCTGTTCCTGCGAAGAATCGTGGCCAGGATTTAAGTTTTCTGGTAAGCCATGACATGTAGGTGGTGGTGCTCATTATCTCTGTAATATTCATAAAACCAGATCTGGAACGTGTGAACTGATAAGAACTGGACAAGAGAAGATACTATAAAAATTCCTCTTATCTTGCTGGTCTGTCCTTCCCCTGTTTCAGTCCCCCACAATCTCTAAGACAGACGGTAGCTCATACACTGTTTCCTACATAATGATGTATAATTGAACTGCTTTTCTGCCCACACCATCTCCAAGGTTTGTTTCTCAGCGGCAGATGGAAGACCTGAAACTTTGCTATAACAGACTACCCTCAACTCTCTATATGCATAGAGACAGAGGAAATTGTTCAGGTTTGCCTAGGAAGAAATTTCTCATTCTCTCCCAAGGATAACCATGTTGTTGTTGTTGTTGTTGTTGTTGTTGTTGTTGTTGTTGTTGTTAACCAACCCATAGCAGACCCTCCGGCAGGTTTTCAGAGACAGTTAATCACGTGGGAGGAGATTGCCCATCCTTCTCTCGCAGAGCAGCTGGTGACCTTGAACCACATGCCTTCAGGATTGCAGCGCAGCTTCTTGCCACTAGACCACCAGAGCCTTAATTTTAATTTGTACTTGACAGCATTCTTGTGCCACTATTGCTGGAACCCATTACTGTTGCTGATTCATATTCTATATAAATTTTAGAGACACTTAAGAATTGTTAATTAGTAGGATTAGACGTGTTTGTCATGAGTAGAGATCTTCTCTGCAAGTCAAAGTCAAAACTCATCGCTGCCGAGTCAGAATCGACTCATAGCTGACCCTCCAGTGGGTTTTCAGAGGTGGTAAACAGCATGGGAGACTATGCATCTTTCTCCCTTATCCCAGATCCTGCTGAGTCTGAGCCACTCATCTTGGGGTTTCAGCACAACTCCCCACCCCTGGGGCCACCAGAGCACTCTACTCTGCCACTAGTTTGGTTCATGTGTTTTATTGTTGTTAATTGTTTTGTTTTTAGGAAATTTTTGATAATGGTTGAGTGCAGTCTTTTTCACTCATTTTTCCTGTTTTGAACCCTCTTTGGTAGCGTCTAATCCTACTAATTAACAATTCTTAAGTGTCTAGGAAGAAATTTATCATTCTCTCCCAAGGATAACCATGTTGCCATGTTGTTGTTGTTGTTGTTGTTGTTGTTGTGAACCAACCCATAGCAGACCCTCCGGCAGATTTTCAGAGACAGTTAATCACGTGGGAGGAGATTTGTGCTCTAGAAAGTTTCAGTGGCTGTGCTCTTTTGTAAGTAGGTCACTAGTCCTTAATCTTGAGGCACCACTTGATGAATTCCTAGAACTGATCCCTTTCTGTTGTGGTGTTGGAGATGAGTAGTGAATATTCCATGGACTGCCAAAAGAATATACTTGGATAAGTACAGCCAGAGGCCTCCTTGGAGGCAAAGATGACAACGATTTGACTCACATATTTTAGGTGTTGCTAGTCATGGCTGTTCCTTGGAGAGAGACATCATGGTTGGAAAGCTGAAAGGTCAGTGATAGAAAGGAAAACCTTCAACCAGATAGATTGACACAATGACTACAGCAGTGTGCTCAGTTCCATCAGAAATGATGAGGATGGCACCAGAAAGGACAGGGTTCACATCTGTTGTTATTAGGGTCTCTATGAGTTGTACTCAGTGGCACTCAAGAACACAGTGCACAGTGTACTGAAAAACAACACAACATCCCCAGTGTGAAGAACTGAAGAGCAATGATGTTAGCTTAAAGACTAAGGTATGCTATGCTTGATTCAAGCCATGGTCTTTTCAGTCATCTGTTGTACATCTAAGAGCTGGACAGTGAAGAAAGATCCAGAAGAGTAACCATTGCCTGTGAGTTGTGGTGTTGGAGAACAGTGCTGGATGCCATAGACAGCCAAAAGAACAAACATATGTCTTCGAGAAAGTGCAATCATAGTGCTCTTGGAGGCAAAGGCTACGAAATTTCATCGCACATGGGCGAATTGTTAGGAGAAGTTGTTCCTTAGACAAGAATATCATGCTTGGAAAGTCACTAAGTGAGTGAAAGAGAGAAAGACCCTCAACAAGGATTGTTGACACGGTGGCTGCAGCAATGGGATCAAGTGTGGTGGACATGGTGAAGGTGGCACAGAAGAAGCTGTCGTGTGAAAATAGCTCCCCACAACATTTTACAGATTGCTGAAAAGAAAACTAACCTCTTCACAAAATTATCTCTGGGGAGGGAGCTTTGGGGCAGAGGTAGCACTTGACTGTACAAAGAGTATGTTATTTGCCTAGAAATATGGTATAGCTTCTTTATGTTATATGAAAATGGCCTTTTTTAAAATTTTAAAAATACTACATATTCATTACAAGAATGCTAAAACTTCCAAATTGTATAAAAGAAAATGAAAAATCAGCTGTAATATTATTTGAATAGTAACCATTGTTACTGTTTTTATATGGCATTCAAAACATTTTTTCCTACAAACATGTAGTCAAATATTATCCTGTAAACTTTTATATTCCTACAACTTGTTTAATTATTAACTGTGCTGACCATTTAACTCTTCAGTTTGCAGAATTTTAAATGTCCTTACATGGGATTTTAGAATGTTTTTAATACTCATATAATTTTGATTGTGAAAGAAAGTTATAAATGATGGTATTATTTCAGAAATTCAAAGATTTAAGGACTATTTAATAAGTTATGTAAAGCGTTCTTAACTGCCTGCTGCTTTGTAATAGTGGAGGTGCCTGCTGCTTTGTAATAGTTGAGGTACAGTGCTTCTACTGTTTTTAAAAAGGAAAATGTTGTTTGTCATCAGATGCCTCCTGGAACAGCAAGACCAGGTTCTCGTGGCGGGCCTGTAGGAACTGGAGGAGTTCTGTCTTCTCAGATCAAAGTTGCAGACCGTCCCGTAACACAACAAGGTTTGAGTGGAATGAAAACTGGAATGAAAGGTAGGAGTTTGAAGAAGATGAACATATTTCTACAAGACCTATTCCTGAATCAGAATTAGAGTGTAAAAGTCTTACTCACTCATGCATAAAATTATGACATCAAGTAGGAGACTAGCTGTGAAAATACTTTGTGAGGACTTCAGAGTCTTGATTTGCTTTGTCTATTATAATAATAGCTGCTCGTTACACATGACTATTTAAATTTAAATTAATAAAAAGGAAATGAAATATGTATCCAGTTCCTCAGTGGCATTAGTTCTATTTCAAAGTGTGCAGCAGTTACAGGGGGCTATTGCATTAGACAGCACTTGTGAAATATTGCTATCATTGTAGCACATTTGTTTTGTTGGGTTTTTTTTAAATTTTATTTTGTAATTTTTGTATGTACCGTCAAATTGGATCTGACTGGTACAGGAGAAGATTGCCCCTCCTTCTCCAGCATAGCATCTGGTGGATTTGAACCATATGCCCCTGGAATTGAAGTGTAGCTTCCTGCCATGAGGCCACCAGAGCTCCTTTTTGTTTTATTTTTTGCTAATCAATCTATGGGAGAAATATGAGCAGCCTCCTTCTCTTTTGTTACTGTGGGAAACCGGAGGTTGGAGACGAGTAGGAATTGAAGGGCAGCAGTGGGTGTTTGGTTATAGTATACCAATTTTGAGACCCAGTGGCACAGTGGTTAAAGAGCTCAGCTTTTAAAGTAGAAGGTCATCAGTTAGAACCCACTGGCTGCTCCTTGGGAGAAAGACCCGGCAGTCTGCCTCCGTGAAGACTCCTAGGGAAGTTGAGCTTTGTCCAGCAGGGTTACCACCAGTTGGAATCACGCAGTGGCAGTAGAGTGTTTCGGCTTTTGAGGGCTGGGAGGCATACTCTGCTGCTTATCAACCTGCCTTACAGAGTCTTCTGCTTTAAAATCTACCTCTGGGCCCCTCCTGTTGGTTTTAATCTAACTTCCCATTATTTGCATTATTATCTTTTCCATTTCACTGATTTTTCTTGATTGATGAGTTGTGCTTTGAATATGTTGCTGTGGTGCCATTTTTAAATAAAACACCAATGCTAACACTTTTTACATTTCTTTTTTTTAGGTCCCCAGAGGCAAATTTTAGACAAATCTTATTATCTTGGACTTCTTAGGTATGTTAAATAAGCTCATTTTTTCATATATCTGTTAGCATGAATGTTTAGCTATGGTGCAGGTTAAGATAATTAGTTATCTGTTGATTTCTAAAAATTACTTTGCCTTCTAGCATCATTTTACTACAGTGAAAAATAGAAAATAGGTGTGATAATATCATGAGCATGAGATTATTAGTTATATGTGAGCTATGCATTTTAGGTTGACATTTTTTATTTAATGATATAAGTAATCTTTTATAGTTTTCCCCTAGCAGTTACTTTTTGGGGGTGTGTGTGTGTGTGTGTGTGTGTGGTCAAATCAAATCTGACTGGTACAAGAGGAGATTGTCCCTCCTTCAGCAGAGCATCTGATGGATTCGAACTGTGTACCTCTGGGATTGCAGTACAGCTTTTTGCCAGTAGGCCACCAGAGCTCCTCCCTAGTATTCTGAAACACAGGAGACCCTCTGTATCTATGTTTTATGCATCCTAACAGTTAATGAATCTTGTATCAAAAATATTTTGGGGGAAATTGCTCCTAGAAAGCAATCAGGTGATTAAAGTAATCCATGAAAGGCTAAGAGAGAGTGGGAAGTGCTGTTTACACAGGATTTCCATTCTATTGGGTATCAGCAATAAGATAGAGATGATTTACTGCATATGGGAGGGTGAACATAGGTTGTATGCATATGGAGCATGTTGTTACTATTGTGTACTGTCGAGCTGGAGCCAACTTATAGCTGACCTTTCATCAGATTTTCAGAGACAGTGAATCGTATGAGAGGAGATTGCTCTTCTTTTCCCAGCAGAGCCGCCGGCAGATTTGAACTGTGTCCCTTTAGATTAGTAGCTCCGCTTCTTACCACTAAGCCACCAGAGCTCCCTATATAGCCCACAGGTTGTATGCATTTACAGTAATAAAGCAGCAAGAGATTCTAATATACCAGTAGGAGCATCTGCAAATCTTAGGATCTGTTAAATCCTGGAACAAATACTCCTTGAATACCAAGGAATGAGTATGTATTATTCATACCTTCAAAATGTCCCTAGTTACATAAGGAAGGGGAAGTCTATATATACTTATTTATGATCATTTAATTAGTACTGAGTATCACATGAGAGTCTATTTAGTCACTTGTACATGTGGCCTAATTATCATTAATTTCTCAGTTTTGCTATTTAAGTATGTGGTTCTATACTGAGATTTTTTTCTCATTCACCACGTACCTTTTTCTCTGCTAAACGCTTCACTGTCCTGTTTCAGTTTTGTTATTTTACTTTTTTCTTCAATCATCATCTCTGTCTTCTCTCTCTCTTCTTTTCATTCTGTCTAACACATCCTCCCATTATGACTTAAGGGGAGCTCCGGTGGCCTGATGGTCAGAAGCTGCACTGCAGTCCCAAAGGCATGCCGTTTAAATCTACCAGCTTCTCCGCAGGAGGATGACCAGTCTCCTTCCATGCAGTTTACTGCAGAAAACCTGCTGGAGGGTCAGCTATGAGTCAGTTCCAACTCAACAACGTACAACAACATCATGATCTAAACACCTTGTTTTGTTTCTGACTTCTTCTTGATTCTTCTGCATTCTTATGAGTCTCAAACTCCTAGAAGTTAGTGAAGAGAAGTAAAGGTACTCTCTACCCATCAATCTGCCCTCAAAGCTAAGAAAGATACTCAGGCTGTTAGTTTTATAGCATGTTTACTATCTGTCTACATTGTAATCAAAGGAAGGAAAGAAGGTTATTCCCAATGACTGCTCTGCCTATCTGCTCTTGGATTGTTTAAAAAATAGTTTTAGCTATGTGTGTAGTTGTTTGGCTTAAAGCAGTACTTTCCAACTACAAAAGATTTTTGCCCAACCACAGAACATTTGGCAATTTCTGAAAATACTCTTGTAATAACTGGTTTGGGGGAGAAATATTACTGTATGTAGACCAGAGATTTTGCTAAGTATTATGTAATGCAGAGTTGTAATGCATAATCCATAATCCGTTAGGTAATGCATTGATTCTTCCTCCTCCATCACAAATAAGTATCTAGTGATTTAAAATATCAATATTGTTCCTATTCAGATTCTGACTGAGATTATAAAACAGTCTGTGAGGCAGTGATCGATAATCATGCTTCAGTTCTGGTTTTATTTCATCTTTATCTTAACCAATTAAATTGTTATTTTATATATATATTTATATATATATATATATATGAGAAGTTTAAGTTTTGTTTAAATAGAAAGTCTTGTTTTGAATTAAAAATGTTTTCTTTATTGTTTTCATTTAGAAGCAAAATAAGTGAACTGACAACTGAAATTAATAAACTTCAGAAAGAAATAGAAATGTACAATCAAGAGAATTCAGTATATTTATCATATGAAAAGAGGTAAGAAATTTTGCACTTGAAATATGAAAGTTTTAAATGTATCATTTGGTAAATATGATACAAGAGCTCAAGTTATTCATAGTGTTTATTATCTGTGTATTTATAAATGCATTTATTTTATGCTTACAGGGCGGAAACATTAGCTGTTGAAATCAAAGAGTTTCAAGGAGAACTAGCAGACTACAACATGGTATTTGCTTTCTTCTAAGATAATTTCTTCTGAATATTTTCATTGCTTTTTACCACTTTAAAACATTTAGAATAAAAAAAAACAACCCATGAATTCATGCATATTATGGTAGACCCAATTATAAAAAGTGCAGAGGATTAATTACCTTTTTCCTTTCCCAGAAATTACTTGACTTAACTAATTGATATGCCCACTTGCAGTTTTTAAAAAAAATATGCTTATAAGTAGTTCCTATTTTATAGAAGTTTGGCTTACATACGACCCATTGTTAAAAAACAGTCCCCATAAAGCCTATTATTTTGAAAATTCAGTATATATACAATGGTTCATTAATAATATAAAATATACAATGACGAATTTAGAAACGAAACTCAGTCATAAGCTAGGTCTGACTATATATACTTAAAAATACATATGTACACACATACATACACATGTGCTCTTTTAAAAGACAGATTTCCATCTCATTGCTTCTAATTAAACAATGAATATTAGAAGAAATAAGAAACTTTCTACTATTATAGTTAGGTGAATTATGAATACCCATATCCACTTGATCCTCATGTTTTACTTAATACAAACCCAGTTTTGTTGATTATAGTGAATTGCATTTCTCAAATTTTTTGAACTCCATAATTAATAATGACTCTTTTATAGGCCTTAAAATGTATAGAATTTTTTTTAGTAAGTGAAGTTCTGTTCTAAATGTAAGAAAAAGAATTTGTGTAAAATATAAAATGACATTAGACAAAAAGTTTTTCATTATAGTGAATGTGTTAGTAAATTACACAGTCTTTTTTAAAAAATTTGTTAAATTTTATTATTTTATGTGTGTGTATCATCAAATCAGATCTGACTGGTACAGGAGGAGATTGCCCCTCTTTCACTAGCAGATCACCAGTTGTATTCGAACCACATACCTCTAGGATAGCAGTGCAGCTTCTTGCCACTAGGCCACCAGAGCTCACTCAAATTATATAGTCTTAAAAATATTAACATGCAAAAAGTACTAGCTGTAGGTTTACTTAGGTAGCATTTTACATAAAGACTGTTCTTAGCCACAGTTGCTCTCCCATGGAGCAACTAGTAGATTTGAGCTGTGTGCCTTTGAGTTGACACCACATCTCCTTACCACTAAGCCATCTGAGATCCATAACATATAATAAGCACTCACTAAATGTTAGGTCTTGTTGGTACCTGTTAATCACATCATGATTGAAAGTGTAATATATATTACATTAGTAAAGCTTAATCTCTTATAATTAGTTAAACTCAAATAATTTGCTTTTACATTCTGACTTACCTCATGGCTGAATTTCCTTATCACTGAAATGTGGATGTAGTTTCTACTTCAAAGAATAATTGTGAAATTTAAATTTGTTAATTCATGTAACATAGGAGAACATTGTGTGACAGAATATCTACAAATATTTTACATTTTCATTGTTGTCAATATATAAATCTGTTAAATGCTATCTCTCCTGAAAAGAGAGATCCTCCCCAAATTTTTGCCTGCTGTAAGCCTTGTCTACTTGTGTTACATTGACTATGCAAAGGCATTTCACAACAGATTGTGGTTAATCTTGAGAAGAATGGGAATCCTAGAACACTCGATTGTGCTAATGTGAAACCTGTACTTGGACCAGGAGGCACTTGTCAGAACAGAGCAAGGAAACACTGCATGGTTCAAAATCAGGAAAGGTGTACACCAGGGATGCATCCTATTTCCATACCTTTTCAATCTGTATGCAAAACAGATCTTCCAGAAGGCTGGACTTTATGAAGAGAAATGTGGTGTCAGGATTGAAGGAAGACTCATCAACAACCTGTGTTATGCAAGTGACACAGCCTTAATTGTAGAAACGGGGTAGGTCCTGAGGGCTTTGCTGTGCAAGGTCAAGGATTGCAGCCTTCATTATGGTTTGAAGCTCAATATCAAGAAAACATAGATCCTTATCGCTGGGCCAATTGGCAGAATCATGATAGATGGAGAAGAGATTGAGATTGTTAACAGCTTCAGCTTGCTTGGCACAGTCAGCACTCTTGATAGCAGCAGTCAGGAAATTATAAGACAAACTGCATTGGAAAAATCTGTCAGGGACCTCTCCAGAGTACTTAAGAGCAACAGTGTCAGTCTAAAGACTAAAGTGTGCCTGATTCAGGCCATGGTCTTCACAATTACTTGCTATGCATCACAGAGCTCCATAATGATGACTAAGGGTGATAGAAAAAGAGTTGATGCCTTTGAGTTGTTATACTGGAGAAGAGTATTAAATATACTGGACTGCTAAGAGAATAAGTAAGCCTTTCCTGGAGAGGGTAAAACCAGGCTGCTCCTAAAAGGCAAGGATTTTAAAGCTCCATCTCACATACTTGGGGCCTCTTGCCTGGAGGAACCAGTCACTGGGGAAGGACATCATGCTTGGAAGGGTGGAGGGACAGCAAAAGAGAGAAAGAGCCTCGATGAGATGGATTGACTCAGTGACTGTGAGGATGGGGGTAGGTATGTCAGGAACAATGAAATTGCCACAGATAGAGCAGGCATCAAAGCTGTTTAAGGTTCAAAGCTGTTTAAGGCATCGAAGCCGTTTGCTTAGGGTCATAAGCAACTCAATAGCACATATAACGACAAAGAGGCATGGTAAAGTGCTTAGCTGCTAATGGAACTGTTTGTGGTTCCATGGGAGAAAAGATCTGGTGATGTGCTCCTGGGAATATTACAACTTAGGCAACCCTATGGGGCAGTCATATGAGATGACTGTGCTGAAGACCTACAGATCAGTGGTTCAAATCCACCAACCATATCGAGGGGGTAAGATGGGCAGTCTACTCCATTAAAGGTTTATCACCTCAGAAACCCAGTGGAGGGTCCTTGTGAGCCATAATCTGCTCCTCTACGGTGGCCTTTGGGTGTAAATTGGAATACTCTGTGATGTAGTAGTGAGTCTTCTTCAGAAGTTCAGACTTCTTTTCAGAGCTGACTAACATCTCTAAGTTTGATTTGTAGATAGGAGTTTATAACTGTTCACTTCTCACCCTAAAAATGTATTTTAATATTGGCAACATGAGTTGTAATTGCTTACTTAGGTAGTTCAATATTAGTTTTTATCATAGAAGATAAAGTAATTCAGAGTATTAATACTTGGGCTGAAATGACTACATTATTTATAGTAATGAAGATAGAATTAGAGATAAAATTTATGAAGACCAACAGAACTTTAAAAAAGTGGTTTTGGTTTTTTTTGTAGTTGGTAGACAAACTTAATACCAATACTGAGATGGAAGAAGTAATGAATGACTACAACATGGTAAGAAAATTTATAAATATAAGTCTTCCAGTATAAGTCACGTTCTTCAAAATAAACCTGGTAGACTTATAAACCTTCTAGTCCATAGCAAGTCGTGCTTCTAACCCAGTGGCTGCACGACTTTGGCACTTAATACCCACCAGCTGCCCCTCAGGAGAAAGATGAGCCGTCCCCTCCCTTTCAGACAGTGGGAAAACCTGCTGGAAAGTCGCTGTGAGTCATAATCCACTCAGTGAAAGTGAGTTTGAATTTACTTTTCTAAAATTGTATGGACTTTCTCAAAAGCTCATTTCCATTGAGTCAGAATATACTTACAGCTGACCCTCTCTTAGTTTTCCAAAACTGTAAATCTGATGAGAGGAGATTTTCTCGCTCATCTCCCGAAGAGCCGCTGGCAGATTTGAACTACCAGAGCGTCAGTCTCAGCACAACTTGCCACAGACTATGCAGCTGGAGCTCCCTTAAACACTGTACTGCTTGATCCTAAATACCACCGTTATGGTTACGTTTGTTTAAAGGAGTCAGCTAGATGTACTGAGGTAAAAGCCTGAATAAAATTAGTGTTGAGTCTAAATTCAGAGTAATTAATAGTCAGATATTCACTGAGCAGCTGGTAAATTCATGAATGCTGCTTGTCTAAATTAAGTTACCATTTAATTATTTGACAGATCACCACAGAAAAATTAATACTTTGTGGTGAAAAATTACAATGCATGTGAAAACTGGTATGTCACTTTAACTGATGTTATCATTTGTTAGAAGAAACAATGTCTGTGTTTTTAAAATCTTTGCATAAGCCACTAGGTTTGCTATAATAATTTCCCACTTAGTACTAACTAGAAAAACTTTTAAAGAAATAGCTTAGTTCAGTGATTCTTATTATTTTTAATCACTAACTTTTCTGGTTAATTATTTATTCAGCTTAAAGCTCAAAATGATCGTGAGACACAAAGTATGGATATAATTTTTACTGAACGACAAGCGTAAGTACCATATATTTTTAAAATTATCAAACATACTTAAAGAATGGTAATTTATGCTGATAATGGCATCAAGTAGTTTGAACACTTCTTATCTGTAGTTTTCAGTGGAGATTCTCCAGTGAACATAGGTTCTCGTGATCCTTCCAGACATGTAAGTGGCCGTGAGGTCAACTCAGACTTACAAGACTGTGTACAACAGGCTGAAACTTTGTCTGGCCTGTGCTGACCTCACGGTCTCCGCTGTGTGTAATACATTGTTGTTGTCTCTGTGTCAGTCCATTTCACTGAAGGTCTCCCTCTCACTGACCTTCACCTTTACAGTGTATTGTCATTTTTCAAGGTAGTCCTTCCTGAAAATATGCCCACAGTTCATAAAAGAAAGTCTCACATGAAGTTAAATGTAGCCTCTGCCCATTTATAATTTTATTTCATTTGTCAGTGTTAATACTGGTATTGTTTGATAAGTGGGAAATGATGTTTTGGCAGAATGAGAGACCATTTAGGTAAAAAGATGTCTGTGTTCCTCCAGGTGAGAATTTAGGGGGAAAAAATTACTATGTTTTTTCATTCTTCTAAGCTATGTAGAAGAATAATTTGAACTTGATACTACCTTTTAGTATTACATTAACTTACTGTTAGTAAGTTCATATCCTTTGTTAAAAGCATGTTACTATAAACAAGCATTTGTGTAAATAGGTTAGTCCATTCATTACTTTTACAGGATAATATCATCCTACACAGTGTTTATTTTTCTTAAGCGTACTTTGAAAAGAATTTACTACTTAAATGACTTTGAAAATAACATCCACACATTAAGATATAAATCTACATTTTTAAGCAAATAAGTATTTAAAAAATATTACCACAGAAAAATTTGAACATACACAAAATTAAAATAGCACATTATAGTTTTAAAGACATTTCGTTTTATTGTAACAAAGCAACTTGTACACTTTTAACATTTAAAACTAAGTATAATCTTTTCTTTCCTATAACATAAAAAGAAAAAAATAAACAACAAAATTGTAATAGAGAATATAAATTTCACACAAATCCTGCAGGTTCTTCTGATCTGCCACCAGGTGATAGGGCTCAGGTACAATTACTCACCAGACTAAACCCACTGCTGTGGGGTTGGTTGTGAGCCTTTAGCGACGACCTGCCATCGTATTTCTGTCAATCTTGAGTATTTCCTGAAGAGCGCCTGGTTGACACTGCCACACTTTTCAGGTAGCAGCTCGATACATTGTGCACCTTGCCACCAAGACTCCCTCAGGTCACCATTAGAAGACAATTTTATTTTAAACTTGTCCTCTTAAACTGTAAGGATGTCTATTAAACATCCTAATTAAACATGCTAAAGGAGAAGCCATGTTTCCAAAACACCTACTTAACTAAGCCAAACGTCTCAAACCTACCCTTTCCTGACCTTCTAGAAACTCATTTTTTAAAAGTTTTTCCCTTCTTTTTTTTTTAAACAAATAGATACATGCTAGTAAATGCTAACTGCCACATTTTCATGTAAGAGACACCGTATAATCTCCTAAGACATTATTATGTAGAGAAAGGATGAAAAAAAGCTGTGCACTACTACACAGAGGCCTGCCAGCTTCCAGCAGAGCAAAGGGAGCAGAAGATTGTTCTTATTTCCCAGAGAGAAAATAGTCTAATACACGTCTGTTTACCCTTCTTCCAGCTCCAAGTGAAATTAGCTCCATGCTCTCTTGTCGCCACTGTTGTCCCACCCACAGAACTGAACAGTATTAGAATGAATAAATTCTCAGACACCATTTAATGTATAAATATATTTCTTTGTTATAGAGATACCTCTGTATCTACAGCATATGGATAAATACACTTGCTCATGTATGAATGGTGGTAAAAAGTAAAGATTTTCCCACGGTTTGGTTTGCTTTGTTGGTAACATTTTCATTGCAAACAATTGATTTAAAAAACTTGACAAATATTTTTTATATTCTTCCTATAATAGGTACATTCTCAGTCGAAGTATTCTTCTGTCTTTGGTCTTTTGAACTGTTACTGTGCTTTTGGGAAGAACCACAATAAGTGCTTGGAAAATGTTCCTTGAAGAAAAAGTCTTTTGTTGTCAAGTGGGTTTGCAAAATACTATGCACTACCCGCTTTAACTTAGAAAAACCTCAGACAGTTCTGTAGTACAGACTCATTTTTCTGAATCCCAGAATTTCCTATTCGAATTTGACTGTGAGGGTTTTTTAACCCTTTGACTTCTGGATGTGTCTCTCGAACAATGTATGATAGAAAATAATCTGGGAACCATTGTTCTGACTAGCAGATCTCAATAGCTCTTCATTTGTTTGTGCTAGGCCAGTCCTGTTTGTATAAAAGTCTCTGAAAGGGAAAATCCCCACATAGTGTTAAAACCAAAGTCCCTGGGGATTTATGATGCCCACTTTGGAAGCTGCTGGGCTATTCAGTTGTGGCAATCTTGCTTTACGGTGGTAAACTTTCCTTATAACCAATTCAGTGGTGACGTGTTAGCCATTAGGCCTAAATGTTCCACACGTCTGTGCTTTAAATTGCTAATAAATTTTAAGGAAATTGACTGAATTAATTCAGGAAGCATGCTTTTCTGTTTTCTTTAAATAAAATATTTTACAACTTCATGAATTCATACTATGAGAATATAGTTAATCTTATGTTGTATTAGTTTACCACTATTCCTTCCTTTGACTCATGATAGCATAAATCCAGAACCTCTTACTTTACTGATTGGAGTATCAGTATAACTGAAGAAGTGTTATAGTCAAATATTTAGGTCAATATGAGAAGCAGTTCATTTCAGCTAATAATTTAATCTAGCTTCCTCCTTGCTGGTGGTATGTATGATCTGCTGAGAATAGGAGTCGTACTATCATAACTAACCATATAACTGTTAGCTTCTGAAGAATGTTACTGTATTTTGAGCTACTTGTTTAATACCAGTGAAAAAAAGCCATGATTTCATTATCATTCATGTGAGGGTATATTACCTGTAGTTTGCTACATCACATGTCGGAGTCCTCATATCTCAGTTGTGAGTGGACTGGGCATAATCTTAAAAACTCAAACATAAAAATAAATTAATTTTCTTCATGTAATTCATGAGTGTCTATATATTTGTCCTCAATGAACCCATCATCATCGACCACAAAGGAGTGCAGTTGTTCAAAGATTACTGTGGTTTCTTCAGAGTTGGTGTCTGGTATCTGAGGAAGAGAGCTTGGATCTCCAGTGATCCTGTTGTCATAGGTCTCTGCTTCATGCTCCTCCAGTCGGTGGTGATGATAACTGAGCAGAAGATTATACCAGACCGGGCATTTGATAGCCATCAGAATGAGGAGTGAAGTTGTCAGTACAGTGACAGCCACACCCACAAGGAAAGCCCAGCTTTTTCCAGAATGTTCATGTTCTTAAATAAAAGAGAAAGACATACTTGGTTAAATTGGCAAAACTCGAATAATTATATAGGTAACATATTCCGAGGTTGGCACTGGGGAAAAAAATATACTGTTTTCTTTTGGGGAGATTGACTAAATCAATCATAAAAGATCTTTCATAGTGTAATAAAAGAACACCTTTTCAGATATCCCCTTCAGCTAGGACATTATCAGTTTATACCAGTTAAAAATTCTGGCTTGTTGACTCAAATCAGAGGTTCAGAAAAAACTAAAAAAACCTGTTCACTCAGTGTCATCGAGTTGGAACCAACTCATAGCTGACCCTTCAGTGGGTTTTCCAGGCTGTAAATCTCAAGGGAGGAGATTGTAGTTTTTCTCTTGCAGAGCAGCTGATGGGTTGGATCGTGCATTGAGGCACTGTCTTTGGGTTACCAGTCAACTCTCTACGTAAATGCCTGTTGCCTGGTTCAGAGAAGTTAAAACTATTTACTTGATGGCATTTGGCTGGTTACTACCAGAGTCTAGTTTGGAAACCTAGTGTTTTATAAATGTTTTATTACAATAAGGAATTGTTCTGTACATTCTTTCTAAAAGTAGAAAGTGAATGATGACTACCTCAATTTAATTATTATGATAGCACCAATGATACTCATGCTTAAAAAAAAAACAAAACCCCAACAGTATATTACCTGAATTTCCTGTTAAGTTGCCCGAAGAATTAAATGTTGAATTGCTAATAGATTTTAAATAGACATAAACATGCTCTGTCCTAGATGTGAAAAATGTTGAGTGACATTGAGCCTTAAGAGGAGCTGTTTTGATACTGTAGCTCTTCAGGATGTCTGGGTGGCTGCACTTGGTGACACTCTCATTGCCTAGCAAATTAGGGGGGGGGGAAAGAGAGTAAGAATGGGCAGTAATATTTTATAGTTATTCTTATGTAGGATTTTTTAATAGTCTAGTTTATATTAAAGATTCTAAGAAAGGAGCCCTTCTGCTTGTGTAGCACACACATGAGAGAGATAGATACACATTCCTTTGTTCATGAAAATGTTTTATAGATACAGTTTAAATGCACCATATCTTCACTGCTTAGCTTGACTATGTTACTATTCTGAGAAGATAATTATGGCTAAAATCTGAGCAGAGCAGGGTTACAATGAACAAAGTAGGGTGGTTATTTTTCCCTGCTTTGTGATCAGGGATCCTAACAGGAAAGGCACCTAAACAAAAAATCCTGGCATTATATACTTAATACATGAAATGATAAAACCATCTCCCATCTATAGAACTTCTGTCTTTTCTGTGGAGAGGGAAGAAGGCATCTATGCAGCCTTACTGTGCAGCGTTTCTCTGTGACTCTCTTAACAAGGAAGCTTTCTTTTAAATCATGAAATGAGAGATTTTTATGCTGCCAGACAATCTAATCCTATTTTAGTTCTAATTAATTTCAATTAAAAGAGCTTACCTATTGTCACATTTGATGTATTTAGCCAGTTCTGCAAATTGAGTAGGCCACAAGAACAGTTCCATGGATTTCCATGTAAAGTTATTAATTCCAGGTGAGACAGTTGTGGAACATCAAAAGTGCTTATCAGATTGTCTTGCAGGTTAAGAATGATCAGGTTCTTCAGAGGCACAAACACTTCAGAATCCAGTTGAAAGATTTTATTTTCACAGAGGTGCAACTGTTTCAGTTTATGTAAACCTGCAAAAGCATCTTGCTCAATTGCAAAGATGGAGTTTTTACATGTATTTAAAATTTCTAGACTGGAGAGATTGGCAAAACTGTTACTATGTAAGACAGAGACATTGTTGTCAGTCAGATAGAGCTCAGTAAGTAAGAAGTACATCTGTAGAACCTTTGTGTCTGTAACATTCAAGGCAATTTGGTTATAACTGAGGTCAAGTATAGTAACATCTTTGTTGATATCTGCTGGAATCGAGGAATAATTCTTTTCCGTGAAATTGCATCTGACTTCCTAAAAAAGAATAAAATTATATTCTTAACTGGGAAAACTCTTTAAAATGTCATATCTAGGCACTAGAATGGAAGGATACAGATATGAAGAAACATGTGGTCACTAATTTGTTGTTTTATAGTGTGAACAGGTAGAGCATAACCTGTCTTCTTTGATAAAATATTAAAGAGTAAAGAAATTCTGACTCATTCATTCAGGCAGTACTCAGTAGGAAGGTCTGTAAGGTTAACAGCTCAGTTTGGTGTTTATAAAGGAGATATTTATCTTAAAACAGAAATGGATCCATCTACTGGATTAAAAAGCTGTGCAATGTGCATATCCTTACATGTGTATAGATCCAAGGAAATTGTTCTTTTGACTGTTTCTACATTTTGGAATATGCCCCTAATGAAATAAATATTACAACAGCATTATTTATTGTAATGTGTTATCAAACTGAATCCCAAAATTGTTGCTCTTGAGTCGATTCTGACTCCTACACCCTTCGGTCAGGTTCTGAAGGCTGTTGGTCTGTATGGGAGGAGGGTCCATGTCTTCCTCCTGAGAAGTGGCTGGTGGTTTTGAACTGCCAAGCCTCCGGTTCAGTCTGCTGCACACCACCGGGGCTCCTTAGAGAATCTGTTAGCATTTCCATCAAATAGGAGTTTTACAGAGTTCACATTTTGTTTCTTGAAACTAGTCTTCCATTTTCTACAGAAAATGTAAAGATTTTTCTTTCTGATTGACTTAAAGAACTCTTTTTTTAAAAAATTATTTTTTTATTTGTGTGTGTGTACTGAAGAACTCTTTTTTTTTAAGAACTCTTTTTAAATAGTGAAGACTGCTTTTATAAAATTTTCATCTGGCTCAGAGATGTGGTTTTTTAAAATGTACAGTAAACTGTGAGTTGGTTTTGACATTTTGGGTTTTCCCCACTTTTTGCTGTTGCCCTGGATTATATTCTCAGATGTACACAAAGTTTATCTTTGTATTTATTGTTACTTATTTGAGAGTAAAAACTTACTGTTTCAGAAGTCTGGCTTTCGTCTAATAAGAATATCACAGAGAGAGGCAAAACAATCGTGATGCTTGTGATTTTCATATTGCGGACCTGATAAAAAAGAGAGCATTTCATTTCAATAGGAAACTAGAAGTTCAGTGATTACTGAGAACATTTTGATCCTCCTCGTCACTTTTTTAAAAGCACAGGACCCATTACCCTTTCTGCACTTTGAATTTAATAACTAAAAAGTAGTTGTGGAAAATGACAAGCTAATATTTTTCAGTATGCCCCATTAGTTCATAGTGCCTAGTGGTAAGAAGCTGTGCTGCAGTCGCAAAGATACATGATTTGAATCCACACTCTTCTCGTGGGAGAAGGATGGGCAGTGTCCTCCCGTGTGACTTGCTGCCTCTGAAAACCTGCTGGTGGTTCAGCTGTAAGTTGGCTCTGACCCGACAGCATGCAGCAAGAACATTAGCGCCTAGATCTAACAGATCCGTTTAAAGGAGCTTCAGAGCAGTGAATGTGGTTGTACATTTAAACATTTTAATAAGTTCACAGAAGAAAGTCCAGGAGATTTCGTATTTATGAATATATTCTTGTTTAAATATATGCTTACATTTGCTACTTCCCCATTTTTCAATTACAAGCCTTATCAGTAAGTGTATCTTCTGACTTCCACCTGCGGAAGATGAGTCTTCTTTTGTTTCTCAAACACCTCTTTCCTCAACACATCAACTATTCATGTCTCTTAATTCTCCTAACACAGTTATTTGTACTTTTGTTTGGATAATATTAAGTGTATTAATATGAAAGCCTGATACATTGATTTTAACATTGAAAAGTAGAGTGACTGCTTTTCTGTTATAGCACGTTTTCTTTTCTTTTCTTTTTTTTTAAATTAATGGCGCTGTTTTTAATATGCTTGTTTTTCTGCACCCAGATTTTAGCTGTACAGACCTCTTCATAGATTATGTACATTAGGCATGTAATCAGCTTTAGGTGCTGAGAGGTGTTTCTCCCAGAACCTGCTGCTCTGATCCAGATGGGAATGCTTCACACTATATGTTTCTCTTCGACTAGTGGACTCAGATTTCTAAGAGCTAGGGGATAAAAAAATGGGTTTATAGTAAGTGAACTTGAACTTAACCCCCGTTTTCACTACCACATCACTACACTCATTTATGAGTGCTTCCCAGATTCCCTTTGTTTGACCTATGGGGGGGGGGAGGGAGCCTCCTTCTACCCTTTTGCTCATTTTGGGAGAAGAAACAGTCAACAGCACATAACAGCAACAACTTGTTACAGAATAGGAATTAGAAAACTATAAAGTGAACAAAACTTATTTCAAGTTAGTAAAGTCGATGGACTCAGCAATGAAGAGCCACTTAAATTCTGGCATCATCAGTGTCCACACTGTCTTCAAGTTTGTTGGTTTGGCTATGTTTACCCTTTTCCCATGGGTATCACTTCTGTCCCTTTACATAGTTAATCTCACTTGTTATAAAAAGCTACTAAGGTCTTGTAAATTTGACATAACTTGGATGGAGATCATAATAAAATCTTTCAGAGAGAGAATGGAACTCAAGCTATCAGTTGTAAATAGGCCATTGCCCACAAAACAGATATACTGAAGTATTTTGACTATGTAGTTTACCTCTATGTAGTGATTTCTAGGAATAGTTGGGCTAGAAATCTTTAAACATAGGTAAACTAAGAAAACAGAAGGTAAGTATCAACTACTGAATGAAAAACCAACGTGCTCTGTCAGTGTTCCTCAAGGCACAATTTAAAAACTCCAAAGAGACGAGAGAGAAAGAAAAGAGAAAAATATATTTCTGAAGAAACTCAGAAATTTGATCTTGAAACAAAAGTAGCTAAAGTTAATAGGAAAAAAAAATGATTACATAAAAGAGCCAGGGGGGAAAAAAATCCCAGAAAGAGCCCAAGAAGGCAAAATAGTATGAGGAAATAGGCAAAGAGCTGGAGTTAGAACTCAAAGGGGACATAATCATTCTTACATGGTTACCAGGCATAGAAAGGGAATGAAAAAATTATTGAAAATATAGTAGATAATTAATTATCTATTAAGTTAAATAAGGGGAGTGATTAGACATTCTATCATAATTAGTATTCTAAAAATATATGAATGAGTAGAAAAAAAACTCAACTATGTTTTTGTAAGCTACTCCAACCAAAAGAAAACCAACCTAAAGGAATCCAGAGGGAAGGTGATTGTTGCTCTGCGGAGTTGTGCTCCTCCTGGGTGATATTCTTTGCTCTGTAGGCCTGTCTGTGCTAATGTGCTTTAATGACATTATTTTTGTCCTTTAGGAGTTTGGGGTTATTTTTATATAATATTTGCTGTTATATCAGAGGTCCTACAGTTATTTTGGTTTTGCTAACGCAAATGTATATGCAGTTTAACACTAAGTGTTTTAGATTCTGCCCCCACCCTACCCTAATATTCATTGTGTAGAACATACCACATGAGTTTGAACTGCCAGAGTGGTGCTGCCTTTGGGTTAGAACAGACTCCCTACACACACGAAGCCACTAGAGCTCTCATTTTTGTGTTTTCAGAAGTTACATGAAGGTGGTACTCAACTTCCTTCTCTCCTTAACTATTTTACAAACTTTTCTCCCCCAAATCTTAAAGTTCTTAAAATGGAAAATTTTTAGAAAAAGCAAAAAGTAGAGAGAATACACCTTGCAAATATCGACTGATGGCTAATCTTTGTTCATATTACGGGTTTATTTTTTCATTTCATGTTACATCAAAATGCTCTATAATGAGCATAGTTCAAAATAAATAAAAAGTCTTGTAGATTTGACTAGCTAGGTACCCCTTTCCCCCCCCAAAAAAAAGAATAAACAATTCTTTTGTATTACATTGTTTTATTTGGAAAATATTTTCTAGCCATGTCTTAAGAATACATTATTTCTAAGAGAAACTGTGTGGAGATCTAGTATTTCTGATCTTTTATAATTTACTAAAGGCAAAGCATTGTACAAAATTCACAAGCTTAGATACTATTTGGTGAGGGGGGAAAAAAAACCCAACAAACAATTGAGGCTATAAATACATAGATCTTACCTTACTTTTTTCTTTTTCTTCTGAGACTGGTGTGCTAAAGGGATATAGTCTGTTTCTTGTGCAGTATTTAGAAAGTATATGTCATATGATTGTATTTCACTTTGTTTCAACCTTTGTACCCAATGAACAGGTGATTAAAAAAACCTACCAACCTTCCTTAGCAAAAGATTGACTAGAAGACTAATTTCTTAAAGTCATCTTTGACGGTTCCGATTTTTTTTATTACAAGTAGTGTGCTTAACCTCTGTGTTTCTTAATTATTCTTTAAAAAGTTACTGAAATATTAATAAATTTACTGTTTATTTAGTTTATAATATTCTGAAAGTATATGCATACCTTTAGAAGACACACAGTTGCTAGAGTGAATTGGCATGTTAGTCCTAAAGGTATTTAATTTTTGGTTCAAATTGAAAAGATTCCACCAAGTTTGTATTTTCATGTTTGTTTTTCAGTCATTTTTATGACCATCATTGACAGTTTCACTGCCACGTTATGACTAGAGCAAAGTGCTCTCTCCGAGCCTTAAAAGACTGACAGTTGGCCATTATGTGGCCTTTAAAAATCCTTGAACTTCCTGGTGTTTCCCTTTCCTCTGTAGAATGATATATGGTACAAAATTAATCCCCATCACACCACAGTAGACCTGGCAGGTAGAAATTTATTAGTAAGGTGTGTTGCTGGTAATGAGTAATGATGTTGTAGTTCAGAACAAGCTCTAAAAGGTTAACTCTTTTGGTCTCAGCATCCGTAATCTGTGAAACAGAGATTGAAATAGATTGGTGCTAGAAAATTCTATGACCCCCATATACCATGCCTTTTAAAGCAGCAGAATACACATTCCTTTTAAAGCAGCAGAATACACATTTTTTTATAATACCGGTTCAAAATAGGAACATTGTCCCTTTGCCCAACAGTAAGAAAAAAATAATTGAAATTTCAAGCTGACTTGTTTATGTTCATTTTTATTTGGCTACTATCAGATGTTGCTTGCAGGGATGTTTCTAAGTTTAAATCATCTTCTTTTAAACATGTAGGATAGGACTATTTAGGTATGTAACTCTAGAAGGCTCAATTTTTGCATTTCTTATTTATTCTTTTTCTTCTTCCCATTCAGTAAAAAAAAAAAAAAAAGGTTATATGACAGAATACTTGTCAGATAAACCATAAGATAATTGGAATGTAGGGAAATTTCCCCAGAACACTTGATCATGCTATGTGAAAGCTATACTTGGACCAGGAGGCAGTTGTTAGAACAGAGCAAGGAAACATTGCATGGTTTAAAATTGGGAAGGGTGTATGCCAAGGATGTATCCAATCTCCGTACTTTTTCAATCTCTGTTCAGAACAGATCACTCACAAGGCTGGGCTCTATGAGGAAGAATGTGGCATCAGGATTGGAGGAAGACTCATCAACAACCTGCATTATGCAGTTGACACAACCCTGCTTGCTGACACAGTAGGACCTGAAGCACCTGTTGCAGAAGGTTAAGGACTGCAGCCTTCAATATGGATTGAAGCTCAACACCAAGAAAATAGAGATTCTCACCACTGGGCTGATTGGCAGCATCATGAAGAGATTGAAATTGTTAACAGCATTAGTTTGCTTGGCTCCTGAATCAACACTCTTGTTAACCAGAAGCCAGGAAATCAACAGAGTAATTGCATTGGGAAAATCTACTATCAGAGGCCTCTCCAGAGTACTGAAGAGCAGTGGTATCAGTCTGTAGACTAAAGTTCGCCTGATCCAGGCCATGGTCTTCACAGTAATGTGCTATGCATCAGAAAGCTGAACGATGACTAGAGATGATAGAAAGTTAATTGATGCCTTTAAGCTGTGGTGCTGAAGAAGAGTATTCAATATACCATGGACTTCTAGGAGAACAAACAGGTCTTTCCTGGAGTGGGTGAAGCCAGGTTGCACCTTGGAGGCAAGGATTCTGAAGCTCCGTCAGACATATTTTGGGCATGTTGCAAGGAGGGACCAGTCCTTGGAGAGGGACAT